CGAGTTTCACCCTTAATAGAGTTCATCAATACTGCCTATCCACCGTCTCGTTCGAGCTGACTCGAAGAACTGAGAATTGTGCGTGAAGGTGGAGTCTGAAGGATGGTCAATTCGAACCAATATCAATTACCCCACACGACTATTCTCAAGTAACTGAGTTAAAAGTGATTTACCTGTGACATTAGGGAGATAGTTAGACAGCTTTGCTCAACCTAGGAATAGTGACATTTCGAACTCCATGGTGGGCAACACAATCCTCAATACCTTACCTTTATCCACGGGAACTTCGAATTCGGGCACTCTGATATTGTGATACAGGCCATAAAGTTCTTCTACTTCTGTCGCAAAAGGCCCGATAACAAGGATGTGATTCAGTGGTGGTGAATTTCGTCCCAAAGTCGACTGGATGGGTAGAAATTGATCACGGTGATGTAACAAGATAATGGATCGCGCGACTGATACCATAGCGAGCTGATGATGAATCGGACTCTGAACGAACTGAAAGAAAGAAAAATCTTAATTAGAGAAAGGATTTTTCTGAATAGTTGAATTTGCACTTTGCGGTAAAGTGGGGACCAGGAGTTCGATCAATCCGAAGTTGACTTTGTGTGACACAACTCCGCAGATTTGAGCGTCACATCTAGGCTTAGGGCCTGCTCGACGTTTTACCAGCTTCGGTACTCAGATTGGATCTCATCCACAAAACAGACTGACAACCATCCTTTTCAGAGATCTTTAGAGATAACTTGTCCACTTCGTAGTATGAGGTTCGAGAGGTCTCAACCCGAAGGAAATTAGTGGACTGTCGGATATCTCATTTTCCACGTGTAAACCCATTCACAGTAAACTGGCATCACTGATTATACGGAGCGAATTACCACTAGCCAATGAAATGGAACTGTGGTCATTAAAATGTCTTTTTGCCCAAGACGACAATGAAATCGACCACTGGGTTTATAGAACTAACAAGCATGAGGAATCAAGGATCAAAAGATCACTAGAGCGTTGATTTCTATTCGTTTTGTTGGAAAAACTATGCCTCTTTCCTCAGTTTATCATCAATATACAATACAGTCATGAAACCCAGATGAGAATGAAAAAGCCGTACACAGAGCCGTCCACAAGCCAAGGGATAGTCTCGGTTGCTGTTTCAATCTCTTTTTATTGGAATTCGGGGGGAGGGGGAGAGAGAAACTAGTTCAGACAGGTTACCTACTTCCGGTTGATGCAACCTCACGTTAATCTTACGGTGCTGTGTGTGAACGAGGAATTACAAAAGGTCGGTCTCAGAGAAGTAGGAACGAAACAAAGCACGTTCAACTAATCAAACAGAATGGTTAAATCTGGGGTGATTGCACAGCATTGAACTAATGATTTGGTTATTTTCTATTCCAAGGGAAGTTCATCCATGTCCGATAGATCAAGCCATCCCTAAGCGTGTGAGTGAATTAATGCCTTAACCTAAACCACGCATTGTGACTGAATCACGTAGACCGATTTGGGCAATCGCACAACATTTGGTCGAAAGCGGTCACAAGGTAGACCATGCGCACGCGTTCTCGGTTTCGGTACGTAATTGTGACAAACACCGAGTAAAGATATTCGAGGCATTTTCTATCGCTGACAAAACAATTCCACCTTGTGTCCAAAAGCGCGTGACCTTTGCCCTCAGCCTTCTTTGGTCGTAACCACTCCTTAAGGACCACACACACAAAAGCCTAACGACATTTCTTATGTCACTTAATTTGCCCATCCTGTTCAATGTTATACATGCGCGACCGGTGGGAGTATAAGAGGGAAATTCTTTCCGAAGTGTTTGTCTTCTGATATAATATCACCGGCAATTGCTAATGACTGCTAAACAGCTAAACGCTGGAACAGTCCAAATAAGAAAACATTCTCAAATTATGGAATGAAGATAATTCTACATACCATTGTTGGATCCAACTTTCGGTACAAATCCTCGTCCGTTGAATCGAATTCGCCCAGGTGAAATCGGGCACGAAACAGAGGTGNTGTAGCCATTCGAATCAAATCGTCCCGTGTGATGTTTTGTCCCTGTACAAGTACCGGAAGCTCCGTGAAAATGTACGGTAGATAGGAGACGGAATTTTCCAAATTCATACCAGCATGCACAGCAGCCAACGCGACTAGGGTGGTGTTGCCATCGAACAGACGATGTTCGCTCAAGACAAACTGCAAAGCGCCACAGTCTGAGACAACAAATCCTGAAGGAACAATACAACAAAGGAATACAAATTAGATAAATGAAGCGGTCAAAGACAAAAAAATCTAATGAATTTAGGGTGACTGCTTTGTCATTGTTTTTTATTAGAAATCACAGCGGAATGAAAATGCGGTGTAATTTAGAACAGGCTAGGAAGAAATATGGAAAAATCACTGAACGGAATAATGGAACCTCAAATCAATAGGTTTGTCGCATACACCAGATCATGGGAACGAATAATGGAGTCGTGAGCTGGCTCAACAGCAACAGGCTTCTTCTCGGTTGATACAGAATAACGGACTGCTCCTACCACTAAAGATTTCTTCATAGCTTTAAAGCTGAACTTTATAGACGTCCATCACTGCACCGATATAATAACCGATGGCGGAGGGGAGCGGCGTAGATATTAGTGATATGTGATATTATTGAACTGAAATAGCTTTGGAATGAGCGTGTATCTAAGCGACCCGTAAATAAGCTTCTATCTCTATGATGGCAAAAAAACCCTTGGTCTAGGTGTTATAGCCAACAAACGTAAGACAACCGCTGAAAAATATTCAAGCCCTTTTTAGTGTCGGTCAAGTTTTATCGGTATTTCTATTTGACCAATATGATACACAGCTACTCAGAGGTAAATATTTGATTACCATAAAGAAACTCTGAAAGAGCGCGGGCTCGGAAATGATAGTTTATCTGAGTGAGATCCCCCGATTTTTTAACACACGAACATTAACGTGATTAGCTCGATGAAAAATTGATTTGCCTCGTTATTTCTGGTCACAAATAATGATTTGGCGAGCGTAAAACAAAATTATGGAATTAAGTGATATATGTTCGCACACACACACCGAAAAAATTAGACGGGTTGAAATCAATCAGCTTTCGCTGTATTATTCCTGGTCTTACTAGAAGGACTTCAACTGAATTGACTAATGGAGAGAATTGAAATAGAATGACATAAACGCATGGATGAAAGGGTGATAGTAGACTGTACGGCAAATCAAATGTCAGGAATTACAGACGATTAGAAAAAACATGAGAAACAGACATGTAAGTTTCGTCATGCACAGAGCAAATGAGGTGTGGACTGAAAAGCTGGGAAACATTGGAAAACTGTTTCAACATGGTTAGGTCTCATCAATAGCGCGAATCCATCGACTCAACTGGGGATAGAAACTGGGACCGGCACAGTTAGAACAAAAGCATACTACTCACTCAGCCACCAGGCCGCTGATCAGATGTTTTTTCATTTTGGATACACACAATATAGCACAACCCATTTTTGCGAGCTTAATACAGGTGTCGCACATTGCACTAGCCTCCAGATTTATGACGCGTTTGGAAACATTGCAGTCTGATTACATATTACATTCCACACAATCAAACCGATCTCTAGTGACGATCACTTGATAAGCAGACAGAAAACACGAGGCCGGTATATCACAACTTAATGATCGAAAAGGCACAAATGGTTAAACAAACACCAGTTCAATGATAACTTAATAGAATGAGGATAATTTGTGAAACGGCTCTGCAGAAATGCTTGCCACCATCGGTATAATTAACTGGATTAGTGCTGGAACAAGTATTTCGTAGGGTGTTTGTCAACATGACAGAGGCCAGGGAGGGAGAAAAAATGTATGCAGACGAAAACGATTGATCAATTCACATTAGGGAGACCCTAAATAATTTGTAAAACCAGATTAATAATCAAGGTTTATGTTGACGCCAACAACGGGTCACTTGGGACCACGAGGCTTGACTAGGCGGTCCCACCTACATCAGAATCCTTAAACGCGTGGTTAATTTTTCTTAGGTTTCACTTAGACAGTACAGTAAGACGAAGAAAAAAAATTGGCAAACAGATTCAAGCCAACTCTAACGTATCAGTGAACGTACAACCTCACAGAATAAATTTCGCAGTGATTTTAAACATAGTTCACTTTGACTAAAGACATACCCGGAAATTCCCATTGCCCTCTCAAGATATCATTTAGTAACCAGCGGTTGATGCAATCCGGGACACCATTTATCCCACTGTATGCGCACATGACACCGATTGCACCGGCCTGTAGACATTCACGAAATGCCGGTAAATAAGTCAGCCACATATCTGCTTCCGTGATATTGGCCTCGAACGATAGTCGAGATGTGGGATAGTCTTCGGGTCCAGTATGTCCGGCAAAATGTTTACACGTAGCACCCACCAGTAGTTGATGTGTGCGCAACGGATTCGGTTTGCTCAGCTTTTGGGAGTCACACGGGTCCATAAGGGATAGGGGTAAAGGTGGACGAAAGAATGCAAAGACGATCTATTATGGAGTTTGAGTCTCGAAACGCACGCACCGTTTTTGAGTTCCCATTATGTAAATAAAAATGGCATCAAATGCACTTGTATATGGTTCGGATGGATTAACTGGAGCCGACTTTGATGTATAATGTCGAGCCCTAAAACAGTGTGTGCTTGATAGTGATCACAGAGATCTTCCAAGATTTTCTCTTCGTGCACAGTAAGGACAGAGGAGATCGTGCCTTGCATACCGTGAACTCAATGCGTGCAAAATTTTGACGCAAATCAAGTACCCACATTGCAATTGCTTGATATCAGATGCCGCATGCCTACGCTCTGTTCAATCACGTTTACGTGAAGTGATGGTGATTATGTGCGACGTCTGATTTCAGAACGTAATTGATGAATTTGATTACTTCAAGTGCATACAGTTGCAGAAAGCATGAAATACACAGGGTGAAACACATGATCACTTGGCCACAAGTTAGGAACGCGGTGGTGGTTAAATGATCAAGGTTAACAAAATAACTACCGGTGGGTTCTGAGTTCGACTCCTGCCATCGCCTTCCATCTTCAGCATTTCCATATATCCCTAGATAGCCTTTATATGACCGCGCACCCCTTCCAGAGAGTTGACTGTAGATTTATATGCTCATTAAAGAAATAGGAAAAACGCTTAGCATATTCGTTCTATTTGGATGAGAGCAACATCAACAGTTTCTGTTGAATAGGATATATCACCTTCGTATACTTGTTTTTTAATCGTTCTCATTTTCGAGGATCTCTTATCCAAGTCGACTACAAACTTTCACGAACTGACGTATATGTGAACATTCTCGAAAGAATTTGTCACTCATTTGCAGCACCGACTAACCGAATTTACAATGGCGGTTGTCTGTGTAAACGCGAATTTATTTGAGACAAGCTGAAACATCTCATTGAGGGTACATATAACACAGGACCTTATTCACACTTCACGTTTTGGAGACACAGTCGACCTGGAACAGTTTGCGACTGAAGTAAACTAAGACGATTAGGTCATACACACGACACAGCCAAACAGTGTGGCCTGTAGCAAGACAACCCGATTGGATATGCGCCAAATGAGAACAACTGGGGCTCCGTCCGGAAAACACAGCTGATCACAAAAATCACTTTTGAATTCACCTCAGTATGTTCATTTTAGACAAGGACAATGGTTTCACGAAACAAGGTATACAAGGAATGTTTGGGTGTAAAGTTGTATCCTATTCTAGGTCAATGAGTGTCAGTCCAGTAGTAAAGCTTTGTCTTCGGTGTGAATAAAGGTGTTTGTTACGCTGTGGAGATGAGGTTGTTCTCGTTGTTCTATCCAAATCGAGCTAAATCGTCTGATTGGTTACAATATTTAGTTTGCGAACGAAACCAGTGTACAAACAAACCATGCAACAAAGGATTAACTTCCGGCTAGATTCGATTTCGCGAAAAGCGAATGTTTATTTATCCGAAAAATGCCCCAGTAACCAGCTAAGTCACATGTTCGTGTTGTCCCGTTGCCTTACAATTAGGAGCTCTGAGAAGTAGAAATCCGCGACGACTGAGTTATGAATGGGTGATGAAGCGATTTCAAAGGAAATGGCTCATCTTATGGATAGGGGTAACTTGCTAAACACAAATATGAAGCGTAACAAATAAAATGTGAACTTCGTCAAAATTCTGTCGTCTTCTAAATATGCTTCTCATTTAATATGGGGCCCGAAACGACCAGTTGTGTAGTGACCCTTCCCTAACCGGCATACTCGAAGGTAATGGTTCATTTCAGTTTTTACAGCCATAAACCATGCACTTCAGTGCGCCGGTTTCGGTTGCCGTCGTTTGGTTGCTCATTTGGACAAAAGGAAAATTAGAATACTGAGAACCGCGTCAAATAGAATACAGAGAATTCATATTAGAATGGGTTTGCACGAATAATGAGTCAATGACGGCGTGCAACTGTTTGCGAACCTCAGCCATATCACTCAGAGTCTCTAACCATCGGTCTATATGATCTCGGGGTACCCATCCAGGGAGCATAACAGACCCATGAAACAAAATATCCTGATTAGTGTTTTCGTACTCTCATGCCAGGTCTTACTTTGACCGCCACTGGGTGTTTCCGCCCATTACCTGTCTCGGCAAACATCGTGCTCTGTGGCAACCTATTTGGTGACCTGCACAGCACATGTCCTAGTCAGCGTGGTCTGTGGAGGTCGGCCACTTGCTCCAGTGGATGACGATGCTTACATAAAACTGCGTCTAACATCAGTGTTGCTTGCTCGGTTTCCCCACTTGATTCGTGCAATGGTGCGTAGAAAACAATGTTCAAACTCCGACAATCTAACTTGTTCCTGTTTTCTTAATGACCAATTTTCTGCGCCGTAAAGCAGAAATGGATGAACTGCCGCAGCTTATACTCGACCCTTCACGGACAGCCGGATGTCGCGACGGGGATAAAAATGTGTCAGGTTGGTAAAGACCAATCGGGCCTCCTGTACGCGTGCGGACACTTTATTCGGGTTATGTCCACCAGGTGAGATATAGTTGCCCAAATAACAAAATTTCACTACCTCCTTTACTACTATCCCAGTTGGAGTGAGAATGGAGGCTGGGCCAATCCAATCATGTAGAAGCATTTTACAATTTGGAAGTGCAAAACGCATACGGAACACTACACTAGCACTCAAGTTGTCCAGAAAAGCTTGCAACTTACCTAGATCTCCACTTAGCAGCACAATGTCGTCTGCCTACTCCAGATCAGACAGTCTGCCACCTGGAAGCGAAACGATGCTGCTATGTTCGCACAAGGACAGGGATGCTTCAAGAATTAAATTTGTTGCAAAGTTACATAGAAACGGAGAAAGAGGACAACCCTGAAAAACACCACTTTCCTGAGTGAACTCGGGTGACAAGCTGCCGTATGCTCGGACTCAGCTGCGGCATTTATTATAAAAAGAGCGTAAAATTGAAATAAACTTCTTTCAGGGAAAGACACCGCCAGGGTGTAGTGCGGTCAGATCAGTCAAAAGCCACTTTCATATCGAGGAAGACAGAAATGATGGGTTTATGGAAGGAGCGTTGATTGAACTAATTCCTCAGTGGTTTTCCCAATAGGATTTGTCACCTTTCCTGCAAATGAGTAAGATGACCTATTCACACCATTCCGTTGGAACCGGTTCCATCTCCTATCCTGTGCCCAGGAGTTTCGACAACCCCAAGACTAAAACTGAGCCTTCAAACTGGAAGGCCGATGGAAACAGCCCATATGGGCAGGATGTCTGCCTTNCATCAACTGGGAGTATTCACCCAGTTGAGATGGGGGGTGGGTGGGTGATAGGTCGGTGGGGGACAGTTTAACTAAGCTTCGAAAAGTTCAACACGCACACGTCAAACATATCACCATTTCAGCATTAGCCTTCAGGGTCATGACTAGTTCATCAGCTATCCGGTGATCAAGTGAGTATTATGCTTGTATTCCAACTGTAAGGGTAGATCCTCACTTGAGCCATTGGATTCGCAGTACTGATGAAGCCCACGGGTATCGGTGTTGTGAACTGAGTAATCAATGATTTGACTGCAGTGCATTCCATTGTGACTAAGGTTGGCCAAAAGAGAAAATCTATTCCGAGGTGAAAAATAACTACTTACGATTAATTTATTTATGCGACACTGAGTTGAACATTGTTCAGTATTTCTTGTATCGCTAGTCATGGGATACGTCCTCAGCTCACATTTCTCATCAATCAAGGCAGTGGGCAATGGACAAGCGTTAAAAATGGCTAGTCCATCAATTTTGAGCAAGCTAGAATAGTGCTTCTGGGAACTTTGGCGCCACTCATTCATATACTACTTTTATAAGATGTGTTACCCAGTGGACTTGGGAGAGTAAGTTGAAGTGCATTTCCCATTTGTGGTCCACAATATTACGCTAATCAATAGACCAATAGGCTGGGTGAATTTTCTAGTCGGCGCAATTCTCTACATATGTCATTCTGTTGATTTTTTCAGTATTTTGGTTTCTATGTTGGCTCAAAATCCCTCTGATCGCGCTGGATTCTCATGAACCCAATGATTAGGTTTCGGGTTTGAAAATGGAGTGGGTGCGCCCATTACGGTGAATTTTGGTATGGTGGACAAGTCACAATGCAGAAACCTGTACCTAACGAAATTAAGAGATGAGAACAATAAATAGAGAAAAGCAACACAAATGCGGTGGGGAATCAAAGCTCAAAGTTAAGATTTTTATTATGAGAATAACTTACAAGCTCACGCCTTTCTCGTCCCATAGGTTCGTGTTGTGGTTAAAAGACTGATACATACAGTTCCTTGTGTAAAATGTCACAGGATACGGGCTTCTTCCACTGTTGCACGCAGCCTCACATATGTTTGAATATAAGGTGTGCTAATGCCTCATCGAGTCTCAGTTTGAAAGATTCAATGCTTGGTGCACAGACGACGTGGGGTGGGAGAGTTACAGATCGAACACACTCTGACTGCGAATGACTGACGTCGGCAATCCAATGGGCATTTTGAGAACACTAGTTTGAACGGATGTCCTCTATGATGAATGTTGGGTGATACATTTAGCATCGGGCGACACGGATGGTTTGAGTTTTGCTTTATTTGATATACTATAATCATGTCTCCTCTAATTCATCGGTAGTGGTTGGAATATAACCCCAACGACTCCACTCTCTCTGCGTATAAATAGCGATTCAACCCTTTAACTATTCCGGTAGCCATCCTGTATGGATGCTTCAGCATTTTGTAATCACGTTGTAGCCATGGATTTCATGCCTGGAGTGGGCGAATGTATGCTGATAGCAGATGGGAGAAAAGCGCTGACTCAAAAAGGGCCAAATACCCGACTAAGCAAACCGACATTATTTACAGCTGCGGTCGACATCTTGGCGCAGTTGAAGTTTCTTTGAATGATGACGCCCAGGTCCTTCTCACTTGAGCGTGTGGCAGTTGTTCATTTTCGAGGAAATAGGAAAAACCGTCCCTTGAGTCGTAGAGATAGAACCTTACACTGGCACATTGAATTCCATCAAGTCTATTTATCTATCAAGTCCATAATGATTTACATCCGATTTACTAAGAAATGGGTAAGAGCAGGGAGGCAACAGGTGGTACCTGCAGGGAGAAGCCGAAATTTAGGAGTCGGCGGGTGAGACATAAAGTGGGTACAAAGAACATGCTGACAGGGTGTGTGTGACTGGTGACTCGATCGCATACATCAAAATGCTTGCGAACAACAAAAGCGTCCAGAAATTTTTATGAAAACCAATGCAATGGGAAAGAAGTTTCAAGGCTCTGGAAATGACAATAAAGTGTTGCTGTATCAGACTGCGGAAATAGACTGGATGACAACAAAGCGTAGAAGGACGCCGACTGTCACAAATTCAAAGTTTATATTTAGGAATACGGCGAGATTTTTCAAGTCTGAAGGTGTTAAACGACAGTCTACCAACCGTAATGCAAATGTTTTTAACATGGTACAAGAAAGATAGTGTGAAAACAGAACTTCGAGACGTTTTTCGGAATCAGCCTCGAAAAGGATATCATTCACTGAAAACAAGTTCTGGTTGACTGAGAAACGGGTTTTAGTCAGTAGTCCCTTTGTGGTAATCGGGTGTGAAAGCCGATCCTCGGAAATCCAGCAGTTTGGGCTTAGTGAACTGAAGTGACTGGTTATTTATTACCCACGGAATCGTTGAATTACCTTGATTGTATGAAAGCATCTTGACACTCCTCAAAGTTTGCTTCGTCGGTGTCATATCTACTGAAAAGGATATTGTACATAAGTACAGATCTCATCTACGCCACTTTTGAGTATCATTACTCACATTACGTTTTAAAATGTGCCCAAACTTCGGTTTTATTGTATTTTAGCCTATTAAAATTACACTGCGCAGTGTCCGCTAACAATGACGGCACTGTGATGTAAGCACCCGAGGCCCCCGCCCTAAAAGGATAATAGAGCAAACATTTGGATATAAAATATTACCCACCAGATCCCCTACGTGTTTATACTGACATACGAACCATTCGTTCATGAGTTCAATTCACTGCCATCCTGGGGGCGAACAATCAATGTTTGAGCGGTGATTTTCTTATGACGGCTCAAGGTCAACGTTCAGTTGTTTTCCGCCCAAAAAGCCATCTTCCTGCAGCCAGAAGCCATAAATTTCAATAGAAAATATCGTGACGTTTACGAATATGGTGTGTACGTGAACAAAACGATTGTCATTAGCCTGAAGGGAAGACCTGACTGAGAAAGGTGTATCCTCGAAAAGTGACGCTGTATATGCCAATCTGTACTGTACTACGGAAGATTCATCTACCAAGAAGACTCATCCTCAGTTGGGGGTAAACCATTTAAGCGAACATCTTCAGGTACTGGAATTTCCTTCAAAACCCTTGAACAGTGGTCTCGAATTTCCAGAGTACACTGACAGTAAGTCATTAAAATAGAGTAAACAAATAGATCAGCAGTATTTTCATCAATTTTGCGCACGGGTTGATAGTTAAACGAGAATACTTGAAATTGATGATCAAAATCCTACTTGTCTATTCAGTTCTCCCTGCAATTTGAAAAATTGTAGTCCTTAAATATCACACTTTGCCGCCTGAACATTTTTGACTCCAATAAACTCATCATTTGGACCGAAAAGTAACATCGTTGGGGGCAGGAATTAGTTCCAAAACAGGTTATCAACATCAATCAGCACTGGAGGAAATCGCACAGATAAGGATTTCTCGGGAGAGAAACGAAGACTAAAACTCACGTCCAACTCATCCTCCACGGTATTCCATCCTCCCAAGCCCCGCACAAACGCCCGAGTCAGCTGGCCAGCCAAATACGGATCTTCACCGTAGGTTTCCTGATTACGACCCCATAGCGGATGACGCATAAGATTGGCCACCGGGGCGAACAGATTGATCCCAATCCCATCCTGATTTGGAAAAGTTTTGTCATTTTTTTATAAGGAAGGAAGCATTAGCAAGGATGAGATATATATGAGAAAATCAGAGCAAGAGATTACAACGAAAACAACTTATTCGGGGGGGGGGGGGGGAG